TACAATTAAAAAGTTACACAATTTCTGCGCTTATCGTTATTTAGAACTAAAACGTTATACAAGTTTTGAGTTTATCGTTATTTAAAATAGTGCTAATACTTATTAAATTTAAAAATAATAACTAATGCGGGTAGGTAATGGCCCGGAAACGGAATATAATATAATCAATTCTTAGATTGTTTGCATGAAATAAATGTTTTTACGAAACCAATAGACCTTTTAAATAAATAGATTTTAAAATATTTCGTTTTGCGTAATGTTTTGTTTAATAGTTTATAATATATTTTGTTACTAGTTGTGTTTTGTTTTGCGGTATTAATTATTTTTAATTATCTCTTTCGTTATAATTACGTTTACAAATTTCAATCGTTTTTTGTCAAATATAGCGTTGTAATCATAGACACTTACCTAATTTTATTTTATATTTTTATTGAACTTACAAATACATCAGAAACTTTGTAATTTTATTTGTGCATGTGCAAAAAATGAATAGAAACAACCGACTATTATTACGTAACGACTTTTGCTCTAACGACAGCGACTGAAGCGCGTATTCGGTCGATTGCAAAACAGAAGCGTAATAGGGGGGTGATTGTTCACTCAACCCTGACTTTTTTAAACTAGGCTTACAATTTTTATTTTGAGAATAATTTAACATTACATCCCAGAGGCTGTGATTCTCATTATCCCCTATAAACGTTTTAGTTTTATTAAAAAATTACGAACACACTTGTAAATAAGTGTACAAAGTCGTAATAATATACTTAAGTATAAATCTGTGAAAAAGTATGATGATTATATTTAACGATGTGCTCATTTCTTTTAAAATAGTAAGCTATGTACGTATACCTACCTACACGTATTCATTAATTTTTTGTTAATAATATACTTACTTTATTATTTTATATTTTTGAAGTATGATTTCTAATATGTACCTAACTATTTTGTTTTCAGATCATTGATTTTTTGATCTTGCAATACTGCTTTTTTAATACAGTTCTGCCGATGTGTCTTAGTGATTTGTTGATGACGGATTACTTCATGATATTGAGAGGAGCGGAATTGTGTATTTGTGTATATTTGTGCATGATATGGGAAGATTTGGAAAAATAACCTAACCTAGATTATGCAGTCAACCTTTTCGTTACCCGCTTTAACCAGGCGGAGGTTGAAAACAAAAAGGATAATCGGAGCTTAAACATTTGCCTGTGAGATGTAGGATCGTCGGTATACTTGTAGGTAGCAGGAAAGTACATCAAAACGTAGGTAGGTAACACCATCACTCGACGAGTGAATAATAAAAAAACAAGACTCATTATTATCATAAACCTTATATTTAACTGGTACATACAGCACAAATAGGAGTACACATCAGTTCTAAGTATTAAGTGCCCTGTTCTAAATTCATACATAGGTAATTCTAAGCTAATACACGTTTATTATTATTTTTTTTTGACATTTATTCATTTATACAGCGGGTTTATGGCAATCAATTGAAGGACGTATTTACATTTTATATTGTTGTGTATTATATATATACACACATTTGTACATACATACATACATACATACATACATACATACATACATACATACATACATACATACATACATACATAATATATATATGATATATATATATATAAATACCAACTAATATTAACGTATTTCAATCCTAACAAACTACACACAAAAAAAAAAAAATAAAATAAAAATAATTTTAAAAAAAATACAATAAATAAAAAAAAATTAAATAAACACACGGCGTCTTACTATTATTATAATATTATCCTGTAAATATTTTATTAAACATACAGGTTTGAAGTTATACTTAAATCGTAATTGTTCGAACATTCAGCCAGTTTTTTCATTTTAAAACACAACAGGTGATTACGCGGCGATATAATAATAATATTATAGTTGTTTGTAAATTTTAGTTAATAGTTTATTTTTAGAAATTCAAAAACGTTTTTTTCTCTCGTTTGTACTTTTTTCTTTTATTTTAAGTTGCATTGAAACATAGGAACTTGAACACATAAAAAATACGCCTAAATAATAAAAAAATTTTCACACCGACTATATACGAGATATTATGTCGTCGTGTGTCGAGCGTACTACGTTAATATAATAATAACAAAAATTATTATTATACACAGGTAGTAGATGTATATATAAAAAAAACAAAAAAACAAAAAAGAGACAAATTTAAGACGGAAAATAAAATTAATGGAACAATATTACTGGCTGAACATATGGGAGCGTGGAGGTCGGGGGGGTTCGGCGATGTGAGGAGAAGACGAGTGTTATGTTATGGTTTTCGTTCGTCAGCGGTGTACAGAGCTTAGAACACGACGTTCGAGTAAATCGAAAATGTACAAAATATAATAATCGTAATATATAATAAATAATGATATTATTATAATAATAAATCGATGGTCCGACGGGTAATACGAGTACAAACATGTTTCACCGACGACACCAAAATATTATAATGTATAGTACAGTGTATATATATATATATATATATATAATACTGAGTTGTCGACGTACACAGTACCTAATAATAATAATAATACAGCTTATTATTCGTCCGTCCGTTCGACGGAAAAGAAACAGTACAAAAGAAAACACCTAACATTACACACTATACAAAATATTGAATATTAAACGATTATCATATTTTTTTATTATTTTTTTTTTTTGTTTTTGAAATATATATATATATATGTATAAAAGAGTTATACCATATCGTTAATATAATTATTAAAGCATTTCATTAGAACTAAATAGAATTTTTTTTTTTAATATCATTTTTACAACGCCGCCACGGCAAATGTTTTGGGTGCGTCTAACTCTGCTCAGCAGTGTACACACGTCGCTCGGCATAATATTATAATATATTATTATAATGTTATAGCAATTCATAGCAGTCCGCACGGATGAATTTAATACGGTAAAAATATAATACGAACACCGTTCGTAGTAGAGACACATTCCTTCGGAGCGCTTGCGAAATATTCGCTTCGGGCGCACACCGGACGGCTGCCGAAAGTACAATAATATATTATTTTTTATCAATAATTATTATTAATGACCGATGTTCGGGAATCGAAATGCGCAAGGTGTGGTGCGCCGATTTATGAAAAAAAATAAATCAGTGGTGGTGGCGGCGGCGGCGGGGCCATAGTCGCGGATATACCGGCTATTACAATAATATTATTATTATTATTATTATTACGGGAGTGAGAGGGGCAGCTAAGTACAGTTTTATACATATATATATTACGAATTTCGTTCGAGTACAATATTGTCCTTAAATCGTAATAACATATTAATACGTGTTACATAGGTAATATTATGATAATAATATAATACAAACTATTTTATTGAATGCGCGTGTACCTAATACAGTGACATGAAATACACGTTATATAATATATTATTATGTATAGTTAATATCATTATTATAATATATATGTACACAATATACGATTTTACAAAATAATATTTTCCATTATATTATTATATATTTATTTATATTTATATATAAAACTATTTTCACACAAACGTAATAGAAACGTTAAAAAAAAATACATATACATTATTATAATACTATGAAGTGATGACAAAAAATAAAAATAAATTAGATAACGGATGGAAAGAATAAAACATGTTATATATAAGTATATCGTGTGTGTGTGTGATATTTCTCGCACTCGTACGCAACCAAAGATAAATAGGTATGTATGTATACGTATATATATATACTTTTTCTCGTCGTAGGTATATAATATAATATTATAAAAGAAACTAAATTTATATAGATTTACGAGTATGGTCAAAGTGTCTATAATAATAATATTATAATGTTTTAAAAATTAACGATCACAGAAATTAAATTACAAATACATAGAACGAGAATATAATATTAAACACACACGCAGGTATACGCACGCACACACACATATATATTTATAGGTACCCTAATAATTTCACATTTTTAGTTTTCTATAAAACATATTATAGACATATTATAATAATTATATTACATAATGAAGAGAGTGTATTAATTGATTATTATATCGATCGTAGGTATACGATATAATAATATTAAATAAATTATATGAAATGACGGCGGAGGCAATACCTAACACGATGGATCTTTAAAGTATCGCAAACAATATTGTGGAACTGGCAAAATGGCACTTGGCCGTATTCAAGATGGCGAGAGAAGACCGCGTCATATGATACAATTTTTCAAAATTCACTGCACACAATATATAGCAATACCGCCGCTGCCTCACACGTTTTGTTATATTATTATGTTATTATGGCAAACTATACAATTAATAATAATAATAAAACTAATAATACGTTAAGAGGGTTTTCGAAAAAAAATCTCGAGGTCCGGAGATTTTTCGAACTGTCTAAAGTGATACGGTACGGTAAAAATAAAAAAATTAAACATTGTTCTCGATTATTCGTCTGAATACAATTATCGTGTATATATATTATATATATACTCGTTTTCCTACGTTATACATGCGTATATAATTGTTATGTACAAATAATAATAGTAATAATGATCATAATAATAATAATAATAATAATATATAATAATAATAATAATATAATAATAATAATAATAATAATAGATAATAATAATATTGATAATAATTATAATAATAATAATTACTCAGGGGAGGGGAGGATTATCATTATCGTTATTATCGGAGGTGTTTGTTTATAATATTATATATATGTATATATATATACATATACATGTATATTTTATATATATTTACAAGAGTTTAATAATAATAATAATTATATTATTATATATATAGTAAAATAAAAACACCATTTAGGTAGGTATATACACAGTGTGTCGTCAATAATGTAATAATATGTCGCATAATATTATTATATACGTTTGCCGGGGAGGGTTGATGAGGGGGTAGGGGATCCGGCGAAACTCCGGGCTATACTCTGGTGACAGCCTATCGATATAAAATCAACCGATCGACTGCGGCGATGGCCACGAGGACTAGAATAGCCAACGCCTTTGCAGACATGCTGGCGGCAATCGCACCGGCACCGTTGTACGTGAGCTCTTCGTTCTTGACCACTTCGTTGGGATGCTTGTCGTATTCGGCTAAGGGCAAACGTGCGAAAACGCGATGGTAAAATTTTTGAACAATTTTTTTTTAGAATACGTTTTTCGAGACGTCTCAAAAAAAATATTTTGAAATGTGTTATCGCGGACTCGTACGACAAAATGGGGTTTGATTCTTATTACAATTAATCTAAACGCGCACACGTTTCCGGTCGGAACGAGTTTTCCCCCTCGCGTCATTCTCGACAGTAAATGTCTCAAACAATATCGTGACAGAACCCTCTTTCGTCCCGAGTCCGCGACACGTCCTGTCTCAAAGGAGGGATGCATGTCTTAATCAAAATCTACTTACATGATTTTTTGTGTGACGGCTTGTTGTTGTTCACGGACGGTCCGGTGGCGCCGAACGGAGGTTGCTTGCCGGCCAACGATGGCTGTTGTGTGGACGACGCGTACACTGACGGCGGTCGGGCCGGATATCCGTGCGTGCTGCCCGGGAATGGTAGCCGCTGAGGGTTTCCGGCGTTCTGCGTTGGTCGAGGAGCTAAGTCTGCGAAAAGCGAACGTTCATCGTAAATTTTACATAATATAATGATTACAATAATGTACATATATAATATATGTAATGCAAGTACAACTAAACGAGCAGCTGCAATTACAAGATATATTAAAATAGCGATAACTATTGGGTCTGCAGAAGTAATTAATAATATAATTATATTATATCACCGTCGGTTGCGTTAACCGTATAACAAGTTAGGTACATAGACGGATTTCAACAAGCCTGCGCTGGTTTTATAATAAAATAACGAGCTGTGTGCTAGTTGGTATAATTATATATTGGGTAGATATTTGCAGGGTACTCACTCTGGTTGTTCTGTTGGTCTTCTGGTCTGCAGCACACCTTGAACACGACTTTCATGTTGTTTGTGGAGCAGCGGCCGCCAATTCTGCGGTGGATGTCGTCTTTGGACGAAGTGGCTGAAAGAAAATACGTACGAAATTTGTATTATAATAATGGTAAATTTCAACGATGTAACATGTAACGGTGTATGCGATGTATTCGTCAACCTGCACAATAGTCCTAGTACTTTTATCGAATAAAATCATAAAATAACGAAAAATTCTATAATTTTGAATTAATTGTTTATTTTAAATTTCAAATAAAGAACCTATATATAACTATTTCGTATATTTTCAAAGCACGAAAAATTGCAGTTATCGTAATGCAAACCAGATTGTTCCATATACAGCTAATACACTCGAGTGTTAAATTCTATAAAATTATATATACATATATGTTTAGTGGTTGTATTAAAATCGACCAGATGGTACTTCTACGGTGAAACATGTTTTTTCAGAAGAATTTCGATACCGATTCTCTTTGAATTCAGATATGATCTAATTTCGAGACGTGCAAAACTTTACTCTCGTGGTGTAATGATAAAAATTTTTTTTTAAAAAACGACACGCCCTAATAACCGGACGACCAGCGGTGCCGTTCATCTCGCAGACCGAAAACGGCCTCCATATATTGATTCGCCATATAATATATTGTTATGATATTCGGTCGGCCGGTAATAAAACGATGGCACCAGCCCCCTTTGCGGCGTCATTACGCGTCGACGAGTTTATCGCCATCATCCCCGGATCTCATTTTTTTACGACGAGTTAAAGCTTTTAAGAATAACAACGCGTATATATATACCGTTTTGGCCGGTTCGCGTATTATATGCATTGTACGTTTACGGCGTACCTAAACGTGGATATTTTATTAGACGGATGCGCATATTATAATATATAGCAGGTTATATTATATACTCACAAATGAAATAGTAGTCTTGTCCCGGCTGAAATTCGAGTCCTCCGGGCTGAGGCGTGAACGACCGGAACGTTATGGTGACGTACATAAGTTTGTACGGCTTGTCGCAGTACGCTATGATCCTCGGATTGGGATTAGTGATTCGGCACATATCGTATTCCTCCTTGGACACCTGGAAACGAAAAATGGAACAGTTTTAGAATTATACATTTCATGCTGCAGTATAATGTGTGATGCGTTTTAGAAGATTGATATAACGATACATTTGACGGGAAAACCTTTTATTAGAGGACATATAGGTATTATAGATGGGTGTGTAGAGGGTTTTCTTGTTTTTTGTACGGATTTTTTTTTTTTTTTTTGGCAAACGAGTTCAAATCTCATTTACCTACTACGATTTCTGGTTTTGAAACGAATTTCGTCGAGGCGCTTTCGCCATTGTACTCCGGTGTTTTGTTGGACGATGCAGCTTTTTCGAGTGTACCGAATAATATTATATTATATTATAGGGGTCGTATATATATTGCAATGGCGTTTTTGATAGAGAAAGAGGAATAGAGACGGAGTGAGAGACAGAGAGAGAGAGAGAGAGAGAGAGAGAGACTATAGCTCATCAGTGCTGAAATTCTCCGTCGACGCTGGCAAACAAAAACTTGTAAATCGGCCGTGGTATATAGCGGCAGCATTGTGCTACAACAATAAAGTCGGTGGCCGCCGTCAATTAGTCGGGAGTTTGAAAAGGCCGAAAAGTTATATGCGCCTCGGCGGCGACGAACGCCGCTGCTATTAATGCCAAATTTACCACTCGGCTGACGCGCCAGCAGCGTGCAGCGCCTCACTGTCCTATCTCTCGACCGCTACCACCTGCAGCACCTCCTGTACCAAATCACACCACCACCACCACCCCCATCGCCCTAAACCTTCCACTACCATCACACGCCACGTTAATAAGAGTCGTTGAAATCGACCGAGTTAAAGGTCGTCTTGGCGGCCGCAGACAATGGTCCTATTGTCCGCCGCTGCAGTGGAAATAAATAAATAATAATAGAGTATAATATAATATTGGTAGGTATAATATCATATATTATTATACAGGCGTGCTATTACCACAACTACAATGTACTACGAAACGGTGCGTATCCGTGGTATGACAGGGGTAAAACTTTCTCGACTCTAGTGCGATTATACGACGCCCTCGTATAATGCTCATGTATACTCGTACTATACTACGAAGTAATTTGAAAAACCTTGCCTAGTTTGGATATGTGTATCTTACTACATATTATTACCTAATATATATATATAACCCGCCCAAGCTGGATAATTTCTGTGATCTATCATTTCTATGATTGGGAAACATACTGCACGTGCGAGATAAACTGCAGCACTCTGTACACTCCTGTCTCGCCACTTCCGCGGTGAAAACGGGATGGGCAGATCTAGGTATTGTAATGTTTTATATCCAACGCATTGGTAGAACGACGATTGTAGAATAAATATAATGTATTGTCTAGGTATTATATAGTGGTATAAATGATAATAAATATATATATGTATATATATAGGTACTCACGTTGTAAATGATATACTTTTCGGCATCCGACTCGTGCGTGCCCGGTGCGTATACGGGACACACGATGTTCACTTGGTCGTATTCGAAAGGCTGGTTTCCTTTGTTCACGTCGATTATGTGGTCCGTGTTGTCTATCCGGAATCTGAAACAATATCGTTTAATCGGTTAGTTAAGATTTTAATTATCCGAGAGTTCGCGCATATATTGTTCACTGCATTATACAGATACTATTTCAAAATGTATAATTATTTTTTTTTTTACACAGTTTAAACTTTTATTACTCGTTACAAGACAACATTTTTTTTTCAAATTTAAAATATTGTGTTTTATGTTAATGTGTTATTAGGTACTTGTATGTACAATTATTTAAGTTTAGATGAGCGGAGAGGAGTAGACCATATAGCGGGATACCTAGCAAAATTCCACAATTTCTCTATTCAGCTCGCATATCATACAAAATATAATATGACACTATATAATATTATAGTGTATAATTTATTGTGTAGTAATATATATAGGCACTGAAATATACACAATACCTACGATCGTACGCGCCGAGACAAAATAGTGTGCATCAGGTTAGAAAGCGGATATACATCTATATAGAGCGCTCGTACCACATAGACCATTGTTGTTATATGCACAATATAATATATATAATATCAAACATATTATACTGCAGTGTCTGTTATATTATTTACGCGAAACGTCGATATACGGCGGCGGATTACTGCAAAGCATATATATGTATAACAATATACACTGTGTACAAGGATTGTAAATCCTGCTGTATACCCTGCACTCGTAATTGTTAATTAATAATATTACACTATATGTACAATATAATATAACATTATATGTATCTGTCGACGACTGAACGAGCAGAGACGACTCAAAGGGGTATTTTGGGCACATTGCGACGACCCATCCTGTCTCCACCTGTGTTGCCGTTTGTGACGTGCACTATATATTGTATGATATTAATATACTGTAACGAGGGTTTTCTATTATTATTATTGTCATTATTGTCGGTAGAGATTTCTAATCCTACGATATCATAATATCACGCGACGAACGAATAGAGCAACGGCCCCCGCCGAGCCTTTGACTATCTCCGTAATTTCCGGCGGCGATGACATCGCACACACACTGTACTCATCCGGTTCGGGCGTGATGTATATACAATAATATTACATTAATTATTATTGTTCAATATTATTATATTATACTTTTACGGTTTCCGCTGTGTCGCCCGACGCGAGATCGGAACCGCCAGTAGCAGCATTATTTTGTACTAATTTTCCTGCAGAGAACGATTTCACATCAGTTATGATATGGGTACCATATTATCAATATGACGGTGGAAATATTTTCTATACATTCATCACGACGATTATTATATTTGTCTGTATAGCCCCGACACCATAAACTTTCTTGCCGGTCCTTAACTTTATAATATAACGACGGCCTCTTACGCACGGTGGTCGCTGCAGTACGCGTGCATTATACGCGGAAGAACGTAAAAAAGACATAAATGTTTATTGCTGTTATTATTATTAAACGACCGTTTGCCGACTCCCGTTTTCGTCGATAAGTGCACAGCCAACCGTATTTATTACACTCATATGTATCTCGTACCTATATAAGACGTGCAACGCGACCACCAACTGAATATATAGTACTCATACACGTCGTGATGGGTGCCCTTCTGTATATGGTAAGCGCGATCGAAGAATGTGTCTGGTCATCGTCATTGTCAGGGCACGCCAGATATAATAATATAATATTATTGCGCGAGAGACGCGTTCGGACAGCTCGGACAACAACGGCGGCGGAGGTCATAACGAATCGATTTGCCGGCGCGGAATACATATTTTTTCCTTCTTCAGATTTTTGATTTTGTTTTTATACAAATTACAGCATACATATGTCATATACCTATATAATGGACAGAGTGCATTGTTGGTATGTGTGCGAGTGCGTTACGGGCGTCATATGATGACGATGATGAGGATGAACGAACCGTTATGGTGCGATGCACAGTCGTGTTTGACATTGGGGGTGATAAAAAAAAATATAAAATAATGATTTAAGATCACGAAGACGATGAACATAATATTATAGCTTCGACGGGAAAAGTGATAAACGGCGCTACAATCACAGCGATTGCGTCTAACGTGCGTTAAATAGGGAGTGTTACTGAGACACGGATGGACGTTTGTGCGCTTTTAGATCGGTGCCTGGAAAACACTTGCTCGGTAACGAATAATATAATATAATGGGATTCGATAATGCGATGTTATGAAATCATAAGATCACGTGGATGAATATTATATAGTATAGGTATATAGTACGATGATGCTACGTGTCTATATAGTTTTTCTCCATACCGTTTGCCTTTGACACGGTGCGATTATATTGATCGGAAAATATTATATAACATAGTTTGTACATTTGCAGTTTACCGTCAAATGATGCATCAGCCAAGTTAAACAAACATAATTTTAATAATGACGAACGCTAAATTACTCGTCCCGAAAAACAATCCCGCTGTCACCGCTCTATATATATATATATATATATATGCGCACAACTGCCATATCATTATATAATATATACCTTATAGTTATAATATTATGTTATACTCATAATATATTATTTTCGTTTTACGTGCGCGTTCGAATCACGTTTTGAAATATAATTTTTTTCGAACGAATGTTGACATTGTCGTCGTTTCGGTCTGCGTATTGCATGTGCCACCGTCAGCGTTTTAACTTTGTCGTATATTAGCCATATACATCTTAAACCGTGATACGTTTATGTAATATAATAATATGCTATTGAAAATTTGAATCGCGTTCTTTTGGGTTGCGATTAATAATGCATACCAGTCGTCGTGACACTTAAATAAAATATATTATACGGATAAATACCTGCGTCGTCATCGCTCGATAAAACGTTCGAGTTTAGTCAAAAACGGAGAAAACGATGATCGTGACTAAAAGAGGAGTTCGTACTTTAGGCGGACGCTTTCACATGCATATGCAAATATATAGCTTTCCGAGAAACAAGCGCAACGTGTATAATGTATTATGTATATTATAATATATGTTTTCAAAGCAGTTTTTTGTCTCAAAAGCGAATGAAATAATAAAATAACGCCCTATAGAAGTAGTTATAGTGTAGCCCTGCTGGTACGGCATGCAAGGTGGATCTTTTCTTTCCCCCGGAACGATAAATATTGTTGGCGAAAGGACAAAACCCTGAAACGACATATAGGCGTATACCTAATTTCTTAAACGGATGTACCTCTGTGAAAACATAATGTCGGTTTCATGGAATACATAAAAATAACGATAAATAATACACAATATGTATGTTCGGACGATAATTGGGGCGGTACCGTCTAGGGGATACCAGAACCATATAAGGTTCATGGACACGCTGCTTAAGGTGGCCGACATTTAAAAAAAACAAAAACCATATTATTATTATTATCTATTATATATATCCTTTATCGGGCGAAGTCGCCGTTCGTGCTTGCCGTATGAATACATATAGGTATATAATATAATACTATAATATATTATGGATGTGGTTGCCGGAGGTGGAGGACATGATGGGGGAAACCTGTGAAACTCGCAGTACGTATCGAATGTCCCCCTCGGTCTAGGGGATATAAAAAAACAAAAACTCGCAGTGGTTGTTTTTCCACTATATATTTACAGAAGCGGGGTAGGTGGGGTGTGGAAAGGTGCTCCTCTGACCGCGGTCCGGTGCTATGATTATGGCGGCTACGGCTGTCGAGATATGGGCGGTCGCGTCCGGTTACCGCCCTTCGCGTGGCTCGGCGATCGTATTCCGAGATTTAGTTTATTATAATATTCGCCACGTCGTATTGTATCTATATATAATATAGAACTCGTATGACGTGGAGGAACGGTTGGCGTCAAATGTTACGTCGACGACACCTTGACGATACAGGGGGTCGCCGGCGTCCGGGGGTGAGTGCAGTGGCAGTCGCTGTGCGTTATATAATACATTATTACACACTTAGAGGAGGCGGTATACAATATATAGGCACCTATATGGTCACGGAGTGCACGGGGACGGAATGGCGGCCATTATTTAGTGTGCGAGTGACGTAAGAGGCGGTGGCGGGGGTCCGCGACGAAGGGGGATGGTAAGGAGTGGGGAGACGGAACGAAAAAAAAGCCCCTAGGAAAAACTGGTGTTGATTAAGTGTGAAAACGAAGGGTTGCCGGGCGGTCTCTGCAGTACCATGGTCCTACTTCAATGCGTGTGTGTATATACGTTCATTATAAGCTGCAGAACATCGTCATAGCCGGGGGCTTTGGCACCACACACACACATATATATATAGGTATACATTATAACTTTGTATAGGTACCTATCCTATACACAGTTATACAGTTGTATATTACGCTATATATAGGTACAGTTAATATATATTATAGTACACATACGTATATATATAGCCGGGTTTCCGGGACAGTGGTGAAAGCGAGGGTCGACAGACTTTTGTTTTCGTTTTCGCGTAGAAACAATTAGAGAGGAGAGCTTTCAATCGTTGCCGGCTATATAGTGACCCCGCGCACGTGCACTATGTATACACGATGCACTGTAGCAGGACGCGTTTTACACACGGCTTATATGGGTTGCAAGGGGTGGTATAGATAGGTGTTCCTCTGTATCTCATGATACACTGCTGCACATGCAGTAGGTAGGTATATCGTATAAAATAATGTGTCCTATTCGTGTGCATCGATCGAGAAATATTTCCTCGGTTCGAAAAAAGGAATAAATAAACGCACCCATTATATATTACCATTATTATTATTATTATTAATATTGAAATGGAGAAAGGCGACGGAGTGCGTGCGTGTACACTGTATGCGCAGTACGAAAAGAGAGCGAGGAAAATGTATACTATATATACGTACCTACTCGTGTATAATAATATATATAAATGTACTTGTCGTCAATTCACGCGTATGTACCCACTTTTGACGCCGTATCAACACTATATGTACAATATAACCTATTATAATACGGGTACTCTGTGCAGTGCGTGAGCGTTTCGAGAAGTTTTTACGCGTGTGCGTCATTATAACCCGTAGTGCAACCGATGCATTTCGTTAATGAGTTTTACGCGCCAGTATAATAACATAATAATAATATTAATATTATTATTATTATATTGCTCGTTAGCAATCGAAATAATTCGCACGAGGAGGTTCCTCAGTGCAGTCGTTCATTATACGCAATATTTCATAT